CTTCACAATCACATCTCTGCTGAATTCAATTTTATTGGTTTCTGGACAATAGAGCTTGTATGCACCTGTACTGTGGTACCCTATCAGAATCATCACTTTGCTTCTATCATCCAGCTTCTGTCTTCTGGCTTCTGGAACATGTTTATAGCAAACAGAACCAAACACCTTCAGATGACTAACACTTTGCTTGTCTCCAGTCCACTTCTGCATAGGAACTATTTCCTTCAACTTCTTCGTAGGACATCTGTTGAGTACATACGTTGCAGTGGCAACAGCTTCTCCCCAGAGCGTCTGAGGAAGCTTCTTCTCCTTTAGCATGCTTCTCACCATATCAAGCAAAGTACGGTTTCTTCTTTCAGCAAGACCATTGTGTTGAGGGGTATAAGGAGCAGTAACCTCATGCTCAATTCCATTCTCCTCACAGAACTTCTGGAACTCTTTGGAGTTATACTCACCTCCACCATCAGTTCTAAGAATCTTCAACTTCTGACCACTCTGATTCTCAGCCTTCATTCTGAACTTCTTGAATTCATCAAACACCTCGTGTTTGAACTTAATAAGGGATACCCATGTCATTCTTGTGAATTCATCAACAAACAACACAAAGTATTTATTCCCTCCAATTGATGCTACTGGAAATGGACCACACACATCAGAGTGTACAACTCCCAAGGCATGTTTTGCTCTTGGAGCAACTTCTGATGCAAATGGCAATCTTGGTTGTTTTCCTTCCATGCAAACTTTGCATGACTTTTCAGGCTTCTTAATTGCAGGAATTCCATGTACCAATTTCTTTGAATTCAGATGTTGTAAGCTTCTGAAATTCAAATGACCAAATCTTCTGTGCCACAGCTCACTCTCCTTCTCAGTACATGTTGCACTAAGACACTCTGAGTCTGCAGTTCTGACATTCACCTTGAATGTTCTATTCCTTCCCTGTTCTGACTCCATAATCAACTTCTGATTATAGTCATACAGCTTCAGAAGATTGTCCTTCATGGTAACTGAGAAACCTTTCTCAATTAATTGTCCCACACTCATTAGATTGCTTCTGATGCCAGGTACATACCACACATTCTGAATCAATGCTATTTTTCCATTGTTCAGAGTCACTCTGACATTTCCCATACCTTCTGCATTAAGATATTTGTCATCAGCACATCTGATCTTTGTTCTCTTTTCAGAGTCAAAGTCAACCAGCCATTTCTTGTTTCCAGTAAGATGATTTGAACAGCCAGTGTCCATATACCACCAGTCTGTCAGATCATCAGATTCAGAGGCCATCAATAGCACAAATTCGTCATCAGAACTTCTGGCTATATTTGCTTCTTCTGATTTCTTCTCCTTGTTTGACCAACAATCTCTAGCAAAGTGACCAAACTTCTTACAACAGTAACATTGGATCTTCTTCTTGTCATACTTCTCTTTTCCCTTCTGAGCATTCTTTTGTCTATCAGAGGTTGAGGTTTCTGACTTCTGACCACCATCAGATCTTCTCTTGGCTTCTGACTGCTTCTGATACCTCCTATCAGAAGTTGCTTTCAGAGCCTGCTGCTCTACTTCCCTTTCAGAAGTTCTCTCAGTCAAACGCAACTCTTGCGCTTCTAAACTGCTCTGCAGCTCTTCAATTCTCATTGTGCTCAGATCTTTTGAATGTTCTATTGCTACCACAATGTAATCAAATTGAGGAGTAAGGGATCTCAATACTTTCTCCATGATTGTTTCTTCAGAAAGAGTTTCTCCACATGCCTTCATCTCATTAGTGATCAGAATCACTCTGGAGATGTATTCAGAAACTTTCTCATTATTCTTCATGTTGAGATTCTCATATTGCTTTCTCAAGGACTGAAGCTTCACCTTCTTCACTGATGCGTCACCACCATAACATCTCACCAGAGTGTCCCATGCAGCCTTTGCTGTTGTAGAGTCTGCAATCTTCTCAAACACGTTTACATCCACACATTGATGAATGAAGAACAATGCTTTCTGATCCTTCTTCCTTACTTCCTTCTGCGTGTTTTTCTGTTCATCGGTTGCATCTGCTGCTACTGGAACATAACCATCAGTGACAAGATCTAGAACATCTTGAGCACCAAATAGTACACGCATTTGGATCATCCAACGATTCCAGTTTTTACCATCAAATACTGGAAGTTTGGTGTTCATGTTGCCGTTTCCGTTCATCTTCTACTTTGCACAATACACTCAGATTTCTCACACAGTGTTTCCCAACCCACAGAATAAAATTCTGATCAGATTTTGTTCAAGATTCAACACGAATCTAAGAATCAAAATCAAACACACAAGACCTCACGTTCACTCGTGTTTCCCGTGTTTCCCAATGAATCTGAACCGGAGCTCTGATACCAATTGTTGGTGCAAAGATAGAATAAATGATGAAAATAGGGAAATATTCTATTAAAGAGAATGACGACAGAAGAAACAGGATTAAGAGTTACAATGATTGTCACCCTATTTATAGGCTAAAACTAGGGTTACTAGAATAAGATAAAATACTAAAATACCCTCTAACAAACTTATGGGCTTAAGAAAGTAATATAATAAAATATGAATTATTACTAATAAGAAGAACGTTAATGGAGGAAATCCAATCCAAGCTAACATTCAAAATAATGCGTTGATCATTTAAACTACCTATCAAACACATTGCTCATTTAGATAACATATCTAAACTACCTATCACATAACATATTGCTCAATTTCTACAAATGTATATAGAAATAAAAATGTTTAGAAAATAAAAAAACATATCAAATGTGATTTTAGTTTGATATTCAGTGAGCTCTTTGATCAATTTGATGTTGATGGAAGAAACTTTGAAGTGAGTTGAATGAGTTTGAAAGAATGTGAGCTGAGAGAGTTTGAGGTTTGAAAGCTTGAGAGTTTGAGAGTATTTTGAGAAATGAGGGAAGAGAAATGATCTGGCGTATTTTTGATTAAAATAATGTCCAAAGATGCATATGCGTATGTTATACGGAGATATATTTCCGTAATTTTTTCGGCATAGTTTCAGGGTATGATTCAAAAACAAATGTATTTCTGGTAAATTCATAGATACATTTTCAAATTCTAATAATATTTTTGATTTTTCAAAAGAATGGAAAACAATCGTTATAATGCATTAAGCAATTCCCTATTCTTTTTCTTTTGCTTTCAATCTTTTTTTTGTTTGTTTGTGTTTTTTTCATAGTTGTTGAACACTTATGGCCAGACCCAGACCAAGCCTTATGCCTGATAAATTTGGGCCTTTATTTAGGCCTCAATTGCAAAAACAAAAGGTCTTTCTTTTTTATAAATAATTTGTAAACGAACCATAATACACAATTATAATACAATTCGGTGTAATGGTTATGTGTTTTCTTCTGGGTTCGATACTTTGTGGCAATAGTTTTTCAGTTTTTGAATATTTTGACACATCACATGGTGCATACTTGCAGTTGCACTACCTCACACTACTCATTGTGTTTTGTATTAAATTTTTATTAGTTAGACATTTTCTTAAGACATTTTCAATAATAATAATAATGAGTATGATTCTAATTCAACCAAAAACTAAACATATGCACTAATGCTTCTATAATCATTATAATTATGTAAATAAGATTATAAAAAACCATGTATAGTTTTAATACATTGGTTTTTTATCTTTATTTTAAAAATTATTAAAACTCTATTATTGTCTATACATAAAAAAACTAATATTAATCATAAATATTATAATTTTGAATAAACAATATTATTGTTATTTTTAAAAATATTTTCACTTAAATTTTGCCTGATTCTAATTCAACAAAAGACTAAACATATGTTCCAATGCTTCTATAATCATTATAATTATGTAAAACAACATTAATAAAAAATTATGTATAGTTTTAATACATTGAATTTTTACGGGTGGTGGTTTGTTGGAGTATCTGGTGGGCTAGTAATCAAGTATTTTCAATGATTCGGTCGACAATCCGAAGTTGATATTGATAAAAAAACATGTATTTTTCTTGGTGGTGTATATTAACACTATCTAAGGGTAGAGTCTATTGTAGTTTTTATATAATGTGAGTGTAATTTGTATTAGATTGGTCGCTGTATAATGAGTTGGGGTACCCTAATACCCCGATGTTTGAATATATTTGATTTATAAAATAATCATAAATATTATACTTCAAAAAAAACTATATTATTATTGTTTTAAAAAATATTTTCACTTAAATTTCATTTTACATCTAATATGTTTGGCAGCCCCACTTATGGCACTTTTTTCAATTTAGTGTAGCCATGATGTTTATCTATATTATATATTTTGTCATTTTAAAAAATCAAATTAAAGAAAATATTATAACATAATGAATTGATACAAAATTATTAAATACAAAGACCAACTTAAAACTTTAATTGAGTTTGAAATCTTTTTCAAAAGAACCAATTTGATACGTTCTAAATAGTAACCGACCAATTTATTGAAAATTAAAGACAAAACATACATATTTTATCTCTAGTAAAATATAAATTAAAAAAAAAAACAATGTATTTAGTTTAAATTTAGTAAAAAATAAATTGACTCTTTAATTTATTTATATTTCATTTTGATGATTTACATAGCAAATAATAACTGGCAAAATATGGACTCAAACCATAGAAACCGTTTTCTATTTTTAAACATGCTGTGATAGCTATTAGATCCTAACATAATTCTCCTAATCCTGATTAAAATATAAACAATTAATAGTATTTACTAAATATAAGCAAGAAATTAACTAAAAACAACCGTTAAACTCCTTAAAACTTTCCACACCATAAAAAATCACCCTAAAATAACCAAAGCATTCCTATATAACACAGAAATGAAGAATCAACAATCACTTCATCCTTCCTTGCTCATTATTTTCAAAGGGAGAACAATCTCAAGAACAAAACCACTTACTTGGTTTGTTCTCCCACATTGTACAAAAGTACATTAATTTATATTAAACCTATCATTCAACATGGGCAACTGTGCTGGAAACCCTAAAACCGAAGAAAACGACGCTCCAATGCCCGGCCCCGAGCCTGTCGTTGAAGAGGTTAACGTTCAACAACGAGCTGTAGAGACCAACACAGAGATAACTCCTGAAGTTACCTCAGATGAGAAGTCTCTAGGCACATTGCTCAAAGAGGTATTTTAAATTTTTTTTCTTAATGCGGAAATTATTATATATTCATTTAATGTAATGATTAATATTTAATTATTGTGTATCTGTTGATAGAATGAAGAAAATAAAGTAGAGGTTGAAGCAAAGGAAGAAAAAGCCACTGAGGTGAAGGTTGAAGCCAAGGTTGAAGAGAAAGTTGAAACTGTGGAAGAGGCAAAGCCTAAAGCCATTGAAGAGAAAACTGAAGAAGCTAAGGTTGAGAACTAAGAACGTGAAACCGTTGTTAGTTTAAACCAAATTATTGCACTTATTGGGCTATCAATGTGATCCTTCCAAAAAATACAAAATTATTATTATGTTATTTTTTTCATTTTGTGCTTAAGAAAATTTATTCAAATGTAATGGAAATTGACTGATTATTATTTATATTTTATTTTTAAATTTTATGTTATTTAATGCACTTTATGATCGTATATGCTATATACATTAAAAGAAAATCCAAATGATGTTAATCTTATATATATATATATATATATATATATATATATATATATATATATATATATATATATATATATATATATATATATATATATATATATATATATATATATATATATATATATATATATATATATATATATATATATATATATATTATATATATATATATATATATATATATATATATATATATATATATATATATATATATATATATATATATATATATATATATTATGTTCAGTGTATTAAATACATATAATAGTTTTTTAAAAAATTGATTATTTATGTTTTCAGTATATTTAATACACATATTTTTTAGAATTTTTTTTTAATCTCTTAAATAATACTCAATTTACTTTTTAGTATTTTCCATAAAATAAATATGTAGAGCTGATTTTTTGTGTGCTATGTATCTGTTTTTGATTTCTTAAAGAAATTCTCATTACATTCCCTGCATAAGTAGTAATATTATTAAGCATGTTTTCGGATTATATTTTATTATGACACACCAAAAATCATCTCATATTTTTCTTAAAAAGGAAAACGATAAACATGACCTAATAAAGTTGAACTTTTTGTTTTCTAAGTCATGTCCAAACTTACAATCCATATTTACTAAACAAACAATCGGAAAAAAGGAAAATTAAAAGGCAAGAATTATATATAAAAAAGGAAAATGGTTTATACTAAAAGAAAGAAAAAGAGAAGCATATAATTTGAGATTGATAACAAAAGAAAAGATAGGTGAAAGTTTCAATGTGTGATTCCCCTTACACAACCATTCTCATTTATTACTCCCTATGTTTTAAATTATATGACAGGTTTAGACATTTCACATAAATTAAAAATCGTAATTAACATTATATGAGAAATATAAATTATGTTTGATTTTATAATATTGTTCTTTATTTATTGTAGATGAAATTTTTTTTTTAAAAATTGAAAAAAAGAAATAATAAATAATAAAGGATATATTGAAAAAATGTCATTAATGTATTGGAATTATAAAGTAACTTATAATTCTTTTTTTACAAAATAATTTATAATTTAGGACAGAAGAAATATTAAATTTTTTTTTACAATAACTAAGTATTAATAATAATTTACCATATAATTGCAGCTTTTAAAAAATTTCTCAAAGTAACCAAAATTCAACCTTCGGTTGCCAAGTGAAATGGCGACACAGTATAGCTAGGATTGGATTCGCCTGACTGATTGGCGACACAGTCTAATGTTAATGGGCCTCGCCACACTAATTGGTGACATGGGTCATTGCTAGGATTTTTTTGGAAGATTTTACCTCATACCCCTGCATTTATACCCCTACCCCTACAATTTAAAAAAAAAAATACCAATTTTATCTCTATATTTTTTTTTTATTTTTTTTATTTACTTTTTACAGTGTCAGATTTTTTTAGTCTTCCGAGGAATTCAACACACGAGTTTACCAGAACACTTTCAAAATGACTTCTGGTATACTTTTTTTCTCAAACCGGAAGACTTATGCAAAGAGTTCCGGTTTACATAAATTATGTATCGGAAGACTTTATGAAAGACTTCCGGTTTGCGTTTTTTCGTGGATGTTCACCAGAACACTTTTCGTAAGAGTTCCGGTACTTGTAAAAAGTGTACCGGAACACTTTTTACAAGTCTTCCGGTTCGCATATTTTGGCTACCGGAACTCTTTTCATGAGTCTTCCGGTTTGCATTGTCCATTTTTTTTAAAATTTTTTAAAATTTTTTTAAAATTTTTTTAAAATCTTTTTTTATGTAGGTTCAGAAATTCCTTTACAAATATGCGATAAAGATCAGATATGCATAGATACGTCTGATGTTTTTTCAACTCCTTAAATATTTGGTACACGAGAAGAGGTAATAAGATGGATTAAAGAGATCAGAATCCGAAATAAAGTTACGGTTATCATCACTCGTTCATATATTGAAACAGGCAAGAGTGGAAGAAGTAACAAATTAATATTTGAATGTGATAAAGGAGGAAAAAACAAAGATATTGATAGTAGAACCCAGAGTGCGACGAAAAAATGTGGATGTCCATTTAGAATCAGATCAATTCCAGCTACTGATGGATCTGGATGGAAGATTAATGTAAAATGTGGAGTTCATAACCATGATTTACCGGATAGATTAGAAGGTCACGCATTTGTTGGTAGGTTGACAGCGGATCAGAAGCAACATGTTGTTGATTTGACAAAGAGAAAGGTTCCACCTAGACATATTTTGCTTTCATTGCAAGAGCAAGATCCAGATAATGTCACTCAGATCACGCAAATATACAAGCAGAAGAGTATGATAGAAAAAAATATAAGAGGTCATAGAAGTGAGATACAACATTTGTTTAAGCTTATTGAGGAAGCATGTTATGTTTATTGGAGTAGAAAAAGAGATGACTCTGAAGTTATTAGATATATCTTTTGGCCTCATCCAGATTCAGTTAAGTTGTTAAATATTTTTTCTATTGTGCTAGTTATGGACAACACTTACAAGACAAACAAATATAGGCAACCTCTGTTTGAAATTGTTGGCATGACATCAACCGAGTTGACTTTTGCTGTCGCATTTGCCTATATTGAGTCTGAGCAGACTGAGACTTTTTGTTGGATGCTAGATAAGCTTAAACAATTGTTTGTGAAGAAAGAGTTGTGTCCACAAGTGATTTTCATAGATAGAGATCTTGCTTTGATGAAAGCCATTGAAATTGTGTTTCCAAGGTCGATCAATATGTTATGTCGATTTCATATTAACAAGAATGTTGGTGCAAAATGGAAACAATATGTGGCTAGTGACATGCAAAAGAAAATTGACGAATTATGGACGGATGTTGTATGGGCTAGTAATGAGGTTGAGTATGATCAAAGGTTGAACCAACTTGAGCAGGCGTGTGTTGATCAAAACATGAATAATGAATTATGTTACTCGTTTTTAATTTCAAAACATGAATCGTGAATTATGTTATTCTTTTTTAATTTCAAAACATGAATCATGAATCATGTTATTTATTTTTTAATTTGTAAACATAAACCAACTATGTCAAATGAGTTTAAAAGTTAACATATAAACATAAAACAATTAGGTCAAATGAGTCTAAAAGTTAACATATAATCATAAATATAAATATAAGTCACTGTGATCGAGCAATATGTAAAGCTTCGAACAAATCCGCAAACTGTGGGTCATCATCTTCAGCACCAGCCTGCTGAAGATAACGATGAATCAACGAAGACACACGAGCCCAGCTAGGATCAGATGGTCCTGCTTCATATACAGGAACTGACATCTCTGTTGGTGCATCATGATAGGGTGGCGGTAACAGACGAGGATGCGAGACACGATAATACCACTCAAGATATCCATCATCTGTCTCATATGGGGTGGTGGCCGGTGCTTTTGGACGAATCACATTCTGAACGCTCTGATGGTAACTAATCCAGTCAACATCAATATCACCAGTCATTGTATGATCAAGAGGTGGATATGGAACATACTGCCTGTATCTAAACTGAAGCATACATCTGTCAGGCAAGTATGGAACAACAGTTTCACCTCACCTCAGACACCCCCTATATAGACATAGCTCATCAAATTGACGCCATACTCTATGATTCTCGAATGGGCGCCATATGACATCAGCAGGTGTCAGCTCGTCCAGAATAGGTCGCAAGTCATCCACCTTCAAGGCACCTTGCCTATAGGACCATCTCATTGCTCGAGGGAGACCCACATTACTAGCTGGTATCCAGTTCTCTCCTTTTTTTCCAAGCCTTGAAAAATACTCATGACTCCAAACTGTTACAAAATTAATATGGTTATTAAATTTAAAATAATTAATTATAACATAATAAACTAGATAAATAAAATTAATATACTAGATAAAATTTGTTAGTTCCATGAGTATCCATGGTCCTATGATTGGCTAAATTTTGGGAAAACATGACTCTGCACTAATGTTAAGCAGGATGTCATTACCATAGTTATGACATCGCTACATGAGTAAGCAACAACTGATTAAAACTGTTGTCATGAGTTTTATTCAGAATGTCATTGACCCTGTCTGGTACAACAGGTGATCCTAAGGTAGTTAGGAGTGTAGTAGCTGCTATGTGTTAGCAGTAGCCAAGTTCTTCATAGGTGGAGAGTGAGGTGTGTAGCCACAACACTTTGAGCTGTGATGAAGTTCCTCACAGGCAGTGTGAGGTGTGCAGCCACAACAATGTGAGTTGTGGTAAGTAAGGTGTGCTGCATGACAACAAAAGGAGCTGCCAGTGCATATCTCTTGATAGAAGTGCTTTGGATATACCTCATCAGTATGTGCAGGCCAAAGAGAATTAGTACGAACAAAGTGCACATTGAGTTGGGGTTCATAAAAAGGTTCTGTGAGACTTTTTAGGACACTACAATATGCTTGGTTCTACTGGTGTGAAGAAGATTCTGCAGAAGGGTGCAACAGTGCAAGCGGGTCACCTAAGTTTAAGTGAAGCTGAATGTCATGACCAATGTTATGACAATGATTGTATGACATCAGGTAGCTAACATGCATGTTGGTTTTCTGGTATAATGCGTAAGACAACTCAGGCTAAATTTCAGGAAACCTGTTATGACTTCTTAGTTATTTTAGACAAGATTCTAGGCAGTATCATGACCTAATTTGACAGCACCTTGATCAGTGGAAATTAGGTTTACTTTGTTAAACCTAATGTTTGTTACTCTGGAGCAACCCAAGCCCAGTCTGCATTGCTATAAAA